TAACAAAAAACTTGGTAAATTTATATATGATATAAATTATAATTTTAAATTAGAAATAAATTGAAATTATCAAATGTTTTTTTTTATAATCTACTATTAGACTTTGTTCACAAATATAATATCTTATTTTTTTTTTTATTTCAATAATGTGAAATCATTGACTAATATTTATCCACAAGTATGCATAACGTCAAGTATATGAAGGCGTATCGCGATTTAATTTCTGAAACAGTATTTTCGCTTGATTCCGTATATAGTAGAAAGTAAAAACATAACGATTCGTACGTCCACTTTCCAGACTCGCAGTTTTACGGCTTATATAGTTATATGCTACAAACAACGTAATTAAAAATGCTCGTATAAAGAATGCTCGTTCACAATGCATAATACAAGGACTTATATATATATATGAGAACTAATATAAGAAAGAATTCATATTTTGAAAGAGAAAAAATATTTTTGTTTTAAGGAAATACCAAAAGATATACTTGTAATACTTTTTAAGAATTGCAATTTTACAAAAATAATTCTGTCAAAAATTAATATCGATTTAACGTGAATAATTAATTTTATCCAATCTTTACATATTAAATTATATACATATCCTCAATCTTAATTTAATTAATTAAATAATTTTTGAGCTAAAATTCGAGCTAAATATATATATATATATTTTTTTAAATATATTAATATAGATATTTTTTCTCAATGCAATACTTATTCATGTCATACAAATATACGGTTTTTTTTCTTTCAATCTCAGAAACCGATAAATAGCAATTATAAAACTTGAGTCTTTTTCGGATGTGAAGTATTGAAATTACGATTCGAAATAGAAAAATTAAATATAACAGTTACATTTCCGATAATATAATGATATCATATATTTTTTTTGTGTGCGATTATGATATTATATTATGATACGTTAGTTAGTTGTGATTATGATGTTTGAGTATAATGTTATTGATTCATACATCCACATTTCATTGCAAAATCGTATTGTTATAGTTAGGTTCATAAATATCCGATTTCTTGACGCATAGTCGCTGTGCGATAAAACATTATGTAAGAAAAAATGTTTTCTACGCAAAATCTTTTTGCGATTCAAAATATGGAAGATATACAATGCTACATTTAAAGTTTGATATCTATTTTTTATGCGTATTATGAAAATTACTAGATCTAGTAACATTTTGCATTGTTTTTCTTCTTCTTTTTTCTTGTATGCTTTTAATCCTTATAAAAATATAAGATCATGTGCAATGCGCATGTTCCACAATTTATTGCACAGCGACTGCGCATTATCATTTATAATGGACTTAGAATCCTGTGATCACCAGGGAAGAGTCCATGTGTCATGCGATTTTCTGATCGCCAAATCCAGGGAATCCGTCATCTTTCGTAACAAAATAATTTTTGGCCGATGACGCAATTCATTGCTTACATCACTACCTGTATAAATGTTCTCAATACTATTTGGATAAATAGAGATCGGTGATTCGAAGTATTACTGTTTTCAAAGATTGGCCTACGTTCAAATTGCTTATAATTTTAAATAACAGTATTTAAAATAAAAAATAAAAAAAATTTGTATAAACTATTTTTTGACAAATGATTATGAACATAATTAATTTACAATACTGTTTTTTTTATATATTAATTAATATATTACTTGAAATTATTATTTAATTTTTCGAATGTGTAAAAAATTTCAATTATATATTTTTCGACATGAATTTGAAATAATTAATGATAATGAAATAAATATTTTTTTTATTATATATTTAATATGCAATATTTAATATTTTCCTTTTACAAAAATGTTTCCAATATAACTGCATTTTGCAATTTAATATGCAAAATTAATTTCAATGTTTATATCATAAAATGAATAAATAAATAATTAATATTCATAATAATATTCATATTCCAAATGTATATTTATTAATTCTAAAAAATGTAAAAAAATTATTTATTCATAATAAATTGTAGAATTTTTTTATTTTTTTTTATTTATTTTCTTATAATTATTAATTATCATATTTATATGATATTTCAAAATATATTACAAAAAATATTACATTCACAAAAAAATATTATGTATATGTATCATATCTTAGAAAATGTAAAATATTTATATAAATTTTATATAATAAATTTTAAAGAATTATTATTTATTTATTCTAAATAATAATATTTTAAATAAATTCATTTACTATATTTTAGACAAATAAATCTTCAAATTTCATTTCACTTTAATAAAATTATTTCATTTATTATTTCAAATATTTTTTTCAAAATATAGCTGATACTTCCTTGTTTAAAATTTAAGAATTCGAAGAAGAGACATTTCAGAATATGTTGAATCATTGACTGAAAAATGATCTACGTTATCTTCGAAAGATGTCTTTTAAGGAGAAATTATAATAAAACAAAACTCTATAAATTTATATTTATAAATTTATATTTGAATGAAATCTAAATATGGTTGATAGTGAGTTCAAGTTCTCTCATACATCTCGATTAAAAATTTTTTTCGATTAAAATTTCATTTTAATATCTCTCCCAAATGCTTTTAGCATTTAACAATATTCAAATTCAAGACATATATATTCGTCATCATAGTCATTTATGGCCATAATGTGTCTTTGAACTTTTTTTTGACCTTCCTCTGATGATGATAGTCCTCTCGATCGAGGAATTACACAAACTATTGGTCAACAATTTTAAATCGTTTCTAGTCAAAATGAATCGTAGTGATTACGTGAAAATTTTACGAATCGAGAATAAATAGTTTGCTAATGTTCACTCTACTAATGTTCATTTGTTATTCTATTTGCAAATATACAAGATGAAGTTAAATGTTACAATCAAGCAAAGAATGATTTTGCATGCAAAAATATATAATATAATAGTCGAAAAAAAATAATAGAATAAATTGACTTATTTAATTATTTAGTGACTTAAATGATTTTAAAGTATTTTTTCTATTTTCTTTTATATTAAGATAAAAGAGTACATTTTTTTTTACATTCATTATTTCTTCTAGATAAATTATAAATAAAAAATAATATACTGTGAAGTTCCGATAAATAAATAGAATAATTATTTATCAATAAATTGAAATAATAATTTATTATATATATTTTATATATATTCCTAATTTTTCATAATAGATAAACTTAATACTTTTATCATTAAATAATTTCGTAATATAGATATATATTCGTAATATAATATAAATTTTTATTTATTTAAAGAATTTAACAGTAAACAAATAAAGAATAAAAGATTACTTAGCAACAAAGATTTCATTTTATAATAATTTATATAATTTATATAATTTATATTGAACGTTAATTGTTTCTTAAAAAAAAATTATTTGTATTTATTTTAAATTTACTTCTATTTAATTTCTATTTAAATAAAAGAATGTTATCTTAAACATATTATCAATTGTATTATATATCAATTGTTTTGCAATTATAAATAAATTTTGTTAAAAATTCGTTCGTGTCTATCACTTAAGATAAAATAATATAATAAATATAAAATACAATAAAAATTTTACTCGAATAATTGTTTAAATAAATATTTATTTTGGTAATAAATAATCCTGACAAAAATAATAATAGAGAAAAATATTAATTAATAGGTTATAGTCCACAACTTTTGCGTATAATGACATATATACATATATATATATATATGAAAATGAAAATGAGATTTAAAAACATGTCGATAGTCATGCATACTCACATTTTTCAACATGACATTTATTACACAACAACATTTGATTATATTTAGTTTTCTATTGCTAATTGAAAGCGAATAGTTGCTTAAAATAAGCGAAAACTATAGCTCCATTGAAAGAAACAAGAAGAAAATTACAGCATTATTGAATTATTGAGTAATAAAACGGAAGTTAATTTCAAAAGAAATGATCTTAACTACAAATCTTAAACAAATCAAAAATTTATTTGAAGTGAAAAATATTTAATATAACTTATAACAAATATTTAAAATAATTGAATTTGCGATATTGAAATATAGATAATATTGATTTATTTGAAATAATAATAATTATAAATAATTAATTATTTCTTCATATTTTTATTTCAAATTTAGCAAAAAAAAAAATAATTATAAATAGTTGCAAATATAAATTATATTATATTTTATAAATGGAAGTTATAATATATATATATATATATATATATTTATATTATCAAAATAAATATAAATTCTATTAACGTCATTTATATTAGAATTATAAAATGACATTATTTAAAATAATATATCAAATTACCTGAAATAATTATAAAATAACATGTCTGAAATAATATTTCAAATAACGTCATTCCAATTTAAAACTTAAAACATATTCTATATCGAGAATATTTTTTCGCATCAATAAATGCAAGATTATATTTATGTATTACGTAAAATGATAAATATGAAAATTATTTAAAAGAAATATATTTAAAAACTAAAATCATATTCGTAATCTATATAAAAACATAATTTTAATTCTTAATCATGTTATATTCATATTGAGTATATTATAAAATTCAAAATAAAAAAAATATAATAATAATTAATGATATTTCTACAAAACGTTCAACTATAAATGCAACGCCTACTTCTAAATGTACAAAGGCATCAAATATTGATCGCTAGTGACATCTAAACGTCTCCGCGCTAGACATTACATTTCTAGTTAATAGAACTTGTATAACTTATCAAACATCCAATGTATGTACTTACTAATTACAATATTTTCATGGAAAACAGAATTGAAAGGATGTGCTGCCTCCAATTTCGGAACAATCCATTTCCCTTCCCTAGCACAGTTAATCACAGAAAGGACGAATACACTGAATATACACGAATGAAACCACCTGTACAAATCGGTGAACGTGCAGCGGTATCTCGCTGCAGCAGTAGGCAGTGAATGGCTGTCGCACGCGGAGCAATTGCCCAGTTGAAGAAGAATTCAAGAGGAGTTCTCGCGTTTTCCACATGGCACACGACCCAATTCGTCGATCTTACATAACCGACAACATTGGATCATTCATGCTCAGCTGATCGTAATACATGCGCGCTGCCTCCAATTAAATGCGCGATCACCGGTAAAATATTTTTTAATTCGCTAAAACACGAGTGTCGAAGTGTTTCAAAGATTAATTCTTTGGGTTTTAAAAGTCAAGGATCAAAATTGGTATCTATATATGAATCTAAAACAAATCCAATACGAAAGATTCGTTACAAAAACTATCGAGTACTATTAATATGTATAATTTATTCTTATTTATAAAATAATTCATTCATTCTTATAGGTTAGGTTCAAATTTTTAAATAAATAATTGTAAATCTATTTCAATATTTAAATAAATTAAATCTTTTAATAAATAATAATTGAATTATTAAAGTAAAAAAATATATTTTATTTCATTTTTATAAAAAAAATTCCCATAATTTTAAGTTTTCTTTTTATAACTGTTTAGAAGTAATGTTTGGTTTACGAACTATTATAGGTTATTAAATTATATAATATATTAAAATACATAATTTTTAAGGAAACTAGAAAATTAGAAAATTATTATTTTATGAAATAGATGTATTAATAATTATATATAATATAATTATATAATAATAATTATTTATTATATATATATTATATTTCTATATAAATATTGGAATATATGTATATTTTTAAATATTTTTAAAGAATTTAAATTGTGGTCTACCAATGTTTGAATCTACTTAGAATATATTTGGTCTTGCCACTAATTTTAAATAATCATGACAATAATTTAATAATTATTCGTTTACTTTATTAATATCGCAGAAACACATAATAGAATCAATATATAAATAAATAATTGATGGAAAAGCAAAAATATTCTTTTTTTGAATTTTAAGTAAACAAATAATAAAGATTCGATAATTATTCGTTTTCTGTTTCATTAGTGTCACCGATGCAGTTGACATAAGATTTTACAAAGTAAACAGAATAAGCTTAAGACAAAGCGTATACGGTTCGATTTAATTAATCGACCGATAACAGAGGACCCGGTACACAAAGAATTTGGCCTTGGCCTACTGTTTCACCATTCGTTCGAGAAATGAAAGAACGAATCATCGTCGCAAAAGTCGAGCGTGAGCGTCGATAGTCCATTGCACAACGGTAGAAACGTGCCTACGAATGTTCTTTACCGGCTGGTAGGCTTTAATGGAGCGATTCGTACCATTTGTGAATCATGATTAACACGATTCGGTATGCTCGACATTGTGTCCCGTTTTTCCCACCAGCTGATGGATCGCGTCTAGAGGCCTCCTGACCTACATTATTTTTCGCAACTCGACCCATCTTTTTGTCATTCAGTTCTTATATATTATTACATTTATTCGAGCGAAAGAATGTTGGGAAAAAATATGAAACAATGTAATTAAAAGGAATAGGAAAAATAACGAGATATGAATATGTTTGAGAGTAGAACTGTCTAAAGTTATTTTTCGATAGAGGACATTATATTGAGAGTGAAAGTTACAATCAATTTCAACAGCTCTCGAGAGTTTTTTCTCTAATATAAATATTTTTACATTGTCCTAAAAGTGTGAATCAATATAAAAATAAAACTCTCAAGAAAATATTCAAAAAAGAAAGATTTGAAAGTATCTATTAGTATATCTCGATCACGATATATCGAAAAACAACGTGATTCTAACTAGAAAATTAATAATTCGAACTGATTCAATGATCGAAGTTCCTTCTTCGGTTGTCTCGATTACGTGAAAACAGTTTATGGCGCAGGGACAGGGAGGGAAATTTCTCATCGAGCGGGCTACTGAAGCCCGACTCATGACGCGGGAGAAAGTTTCGGTATGGACGAGAATTACAGAACATCGAAATAAATAATAATAATTCTTCCGTATGTAGCAATCAATTGTCTAACTAAATTTTGTGCAAAATTACGATTTTGTCCAATTGTAATTACGATTATAAATGTAATTCATCTCGATAATTATTGTCAATTAATTATCCAATATAATCAATCACAATATAAACAATGTACGAGATATTTTCTTTACAAAATATCTCGTATGCAATTTTAAAACTCTTAAGTACGTTCAAATAAAATGGTTCAATTCGAATATAATAACAATTTCTGATTACTCACTGAGTTTACGTAATTAAATATAGAAAAACGAAGAATCGAAATAAGAAACGACTCGATAGCCACGAAATGTCGATTAACTTAATTCCGCCTTTCTAGTTGCCTAATTCTCGATTCGATTAAACGAAGGATCCCCATGAATTTGTTTTGTTCCGGTAATAAGCAGAGCGTGACTCAAGGAGAAAAG